ACTTTTGGATCTGTAAAAACTTTGAACAGCTTTATTCCATAATGTGTAATTACTAGCTTCTGGGTAAGTATTGGAAAATTATAGCAAGAAAAATGTGTGAAATTTGGTAGTTTTTTTTGTTTTATGTCAAAACAGGAACAGATCCAATGCAATGACTAGTTTATTGAACACAGCTCTGGCTGAGAAGATCCAAAATATATTGAGACCGGCCTGTTGGAATGACTAGGGATTCAGTCAGTATTAGAAAAAGAAAAAGAATTGAAATTTTTTTTTTTTAAATGTCAAGGTACAACATTTGGCAAAGCTAAAGAATGTCATATAAATTGATGTAAAAATAATCTGTTAAGAAAAATATCTGTCTTACAAAAGAAGAAACTTCCCCCCATGTCCAACAAGAGAAGGTATTATTTTTTAATATGAATAAACATATATATTTTATACATCGAAAATGCCATCTTACATCTTTATTTTACTTTTTTTCTTATATCTAAGTTATACTAAAAAGATATAATTCGTATAATAATATACTAGTTATACTTAATAGAGCTATATGGAAGAAATAGTCTCATCAGAATCAGACTTTTTTAGACATTAAATTCATGACACTTTAGTTTTTAACGGTGCACTTATGTATTAGAAGTCTTTCTTACTTTAAATTCACAAACATAAATCTTACCTGTAAAAAACTTTTCTGCAGAAATTTGCATATTAAAAAATTTGCTGGATAAAACAAAATATTAAAATTCTCAGCAAAAATTTAAATATATTTAAGCGCCAGATCGATATAAGTAGCTTTTAGTTAATCAAGTTACAATAAATGTAATTTTGCATGCGATTATTTGATCATTTGAATTTCTGCAGTACATTTTTTCTACTTTGAAATTCTGCAGGAGAATTTTTTTTGTGAAATTTTTGCTGCTGAAATTTAAAGTAAAAAAAAAATCGAATCCAAGAACACAGATTAAAAATTCTGTTTTATTTTTCTTTCAAGCTAACTTAAAGTTTCATTTAATCACTGGAACTTTAATACCTACAAGTTTATTTTTTTCTGTCAAAACAACTCATAGTCCCTGATGATTCACTAGCTGATTAAAAAAAACAGATTTAATTAGTAATTTCCAACCTGGCAGGCTTGACAATTAGCTAACTTAAGACAACATTAAATCCTAAAAATAAATATTTAGTCTCTGTCTATGTCTGTGTTTGCATTTGTAGAAAAATATACATCTTTACCTGCACAGTCTTCAGCTGCTGGGCCTGTAATGTGGTCACCTGGTTTCCAGTGCTCCCTACCACTGGTTTCAGTTCTCTCCCACCTATAGTCACCACTTTAAACTGCGGTGTTGGAGACTTTGTGTCTCCTGAAGTCTGTGAAACCCCAGGTTTGCTGCCTGTGTGGGGTAATTGGAGCACAATTGGCTGCCCTGTTTTCCCAATTGCTGTAACCAAAAGTTTTTGGCCATCTTGTTTGATGACTTGGGATGGAGTACCTGCAGCTTTCGCTGCTTCCGAGGCCTGAGAAGAAGCTAACTTATTAAGAATGATCTGGTGGTTGGCTGCAGAAATGGCAAACGGAGCTGTGAGCTTCTGCATGCCAGTCGTGGAAATTGTAGTCCCAGTGACGCTTTCTGTAGTTTTGGTCTTAGCTGTAGAAGTAGCCATGGCTGGTTTGATGGTAAATAAGGTTGATGAAGTGGAAATTGTGATGGAAGGCTGACTTCCAGGGAGGACGGTGGAATCTGCAGCTGCAGGAGTGGCCGCAGTCTGAATGTGCTCCAGTGAGGTGGCATTTGAACAGATGCTTAAACTTTCTGATGACACGGGAGCATCGGTTTCCATTGGGACAGACAAGTCAGATGTGGGCTCTGACTGGCTGGCACTGCCATCAGACTGGGAGTGAGGGATTTCCTCTATGGCCTCGGTATCCATGATTTCATCAGGAAGGAGGCTGTTGAGCTCTGGCGACACCACATCCATGCTTATTGCGTCTTAGCTCTCAGTTACCCCTTCAAAAAGAAGCAATACAACAATCTAGTTAGAGACCTCAAACAATAAGATGTTTCCTAAACAGAATTGCGGTTAAAGGGGGGGTTAAAAAAACATCAAACCTACAATAAAAGAATAAATAAAATACAGATTAAAGGGAGAGATGATGAAAAAAATTAATGACATGAAGTCCATGACAGAATACTGTATCTTGGTGGATATAACCGCAATGTTAAATAAAAAAAAAAGAAAGTATTTTACATTGGTTTGTACTTGAAACATGTGGGTCAATTTTCTTTAGACAAACCTTTATCCATTTTTAAAAACAAAGTATTAATAGTGAAAACTAATAAAAAAAAACAAAAAAACAAGTTAGATTAGCAAAGGGGAAGCCTAAGCTAACCCTGCATTTTGTCATGAACTAATAAAAAGTATATTTACTGATTCATTTTGACTAATTTGGCACTAATGTTCCTCATTTTGACAAATAATCTCTAAGATGCAGTCCAGTGAAGGTTTTAGCTAGGCCAGAAAACTGAGCAGAACCTGTGAATGACCTTCTTACTATCAGCTACGCATTGAGAACTTTTTCCTTTTTCTATGGAGCACAGGGCTCTACCTGTCGTCATCGTCCTACATTTGTTCAAATCATATTTGGCAATAAATCCTTTCTTTGTTTCTTTTGAGTTTCCTCTGACAAAACCTGAGTAAATAAAAGCTATCTATAGTGTTTCACAGGGCTCCCTTTTCGGGCCACTCCTATTCAATACCTCCAATCCCCCCTGATGAGATCAGAATCATTCTGATGTCTCTTATTCAGGGTTTATACAGGAATGAATAACTCTAATTTATTGCTTTTTAATGCTCTTTTAATGCTCTTAGAAATTAGTTTAATGCCACCAACAGGTATCTGTCGACAGGCTGCAGCCATGCCCCGAATTCCTCATTTTCCAACCACTTTTGTTGAAATTGGCATTCTTTTCCGAACATACGTCTTTGCGATCAACTGGAAGCAGTTCCACGCAAATATATCGTGATATAATATATCTGACAAAATTGTTTATAATACATTTTTTTTTAAATAAACATTTTGATTGCCACCACAAACACATTTAATGAATTTTAATGCCAATAAAGGCCTTAATTTAAAAAATAACAATTTAATTAACTTTAATGACCCGCAGAAACCCTGTTATTACATATATACTGTAGGAAAAAAAACTTTATACAGGCCCTGAGAGTCCATAATTTCAATGAGTAGATAGTGAAACTTAGAAAAGCAGTGGTATTATTTTTTAGATCCTAAAGTGCACAGTTAGAAATGATCAGTAAACTTGAATTAACTACATTTACAATGCACTCCAGAATAGCTGTCGGATTTGTTTAGATTTTAGGAAAAAAAAAAAAATTTGAAGTAAACCTAGCCCCATTCTGTAAACAGTAGCAGAAGTAAGAGACCTCAGCAAAATATAAATATATACATAAAAATTAATTTGTGAATTTTTCATCATTTTTTTAGCTACAAAGGCAAACAACACTGTATGAAATAATACTTTGCATTTTAACAGAAACACCCAGAAGTTACAGGGGGATTTAGCTTCTGGGTAAGGATGGGAGCATTTAGATCAAGACTGCACATAGTTATAAAGCAAATTTTCATTATACAAAATCTTATTTTAATTTCTATGCTCTTGGAACTCGATAAGTTTTAAATTATTATCCCAACTTGCTTGGCTTTAACTGAAATGCCTAATTTCTATGGCTCATTCAATATGTTTTTTTTTTCTATCAGGCATTCTCAATTACCTGCTAAATAATTCCATCACTTTGCCATGGCAACTAATACAAACAGTGGAGATGAAAACGTAAAAAGATTTTTTTATATAACCTTTCAACGTATTAATGATAGTATCTGGGATTGTTTAACATTTCTAAATACATCATTTAATTCTACTGGTTAAATGCAGACTGCCTTTAACACATAAACAAAGCTAGCGATGCCAAAGCTAGCAGTGGGTTTCCACCAAAAAACCGGCTTAGAAGAATCGACCTGTTACGTTAGCTGCTAAGAAGAAAATAACGAATCAATCCAGAGATGAGCTGGAGCTGCATTTGGCTTTTGTTGCTTTTGACAGAAGCTGACAGCTGATGCTAGGCCGCGCCGTTTATCTCCGGCGCATCTTTGTCCTGCTGCACATTAATCCTCCCAAATGAACCTCCTGTATTACTCCACACAGACTCTGGAGTTTCTGTTTTCCATGTCCCCGGAAAACAGCCAGAAAACACGGGCTGCATGTGCCTGGGATAAAAAAAACAATCCGAGAAAAGTGATGCCGTTTGGGGTACAGAGAGGGTGAAGGGGGGGAAAGGCGTAGAGCTCAATGCTGGTTGCGTTACTATTTCAGGCCGGGGTTGGATTTCGAAAGATCCGCCATTTTTACCTCGTCATCAACTCGGTTAGCTCTCCGGCTAGCATTATCCATTTCATATTATTCCCTTTCGATTGAGACTTTCGTAGAGTCGACTGCTTACAATAAAGAACAAAGCAACCCCCAGAGATTAAGAACAGACTTGTTTTAGAAGTGTACACAAAGGAGCGGGACAATATTTCTATGCACTGGCAGTGTAAACAAAGCTAGCCTTCAGTAATTTCTTCTGTCACCTGAGAAATCAATCTTAAAGCAGACATTATATCGTTCACCGCCAGATCAAGCAGCTGTGACCATAGGTTTGAGCGTAAAAAGGCTCCACTGTGTGCCTGATCCGCACTGATCACATATAATTACGCAGCTATGACTAGTTTCTATCAGTTAATGGGACAAAAATCGTTTTACTGATCCAACAATAACCTGTCATCGTCCGGCTCAAATAACCGTTTACTTTAAAGTTAGTCAAACAAACGGTTCGGCAGAATTCTAGCCGCATATCTCGACTTTTAAAAGTGTTGATTTTGTTCCTAAATTAGTTCTACCTACACAACGATCGTAATCCCGCATTTGATCATTTCCAGGGAAAAAGTCGGCTTCTCACTGGCTATCATCTTGATCAGTAGCAGGAGCTTTATACAGCCACAAGCCAGCCCAGCGGGCAGGACCAACTGACTGTACTAGCGAAGTTGCTGAGCTGGCTAACTCGAGCTAGCTAGCACAACATTATACCCCAACATTGTTCATATCCTTTGGTTTGCGGCTTTTGGCAGGATAGGCTGCGCTAATGCATAGAGGGGGTTCATACATAGCCATTCTTACCCGAGATTTTAATGCTGGGCAGCGTTTCCAAATAAACCGAGGAAAGGAAAAGGCAATTGTTCAAAATACCGCGCCGAGCGCCATTCCTCCCTGACATTTCACAGAGCGGCCACGCCCTCCACGTTCGACGTCACGGTGACACACTGTTTAAAGGTACAGTACAGCATTTTCGATATTGAAGTATTTTTGAAACGGTTATATACAATAATATCTCTAAAAATATTTTACTACCAAATACCAGCGATATATACGACAGAGGATTAGGATCACTGGAAAAAAAAAGCTAACTGATTTTTAAATTTCATTTCAGTTCTGACATTTTATCTCAGAATTCTGACTTTAATCTCAGAATTCTGAGTTTTTTCCCATATTAAACTGTAATAAAATTTTATAATCAGTTAACTATTTTTTTTTTAGTGGCCGTAATCCTCTTCCGTACTTATATGTATGTATTACTTGTATATAACTAAATAATACATTTTGGCACTGGCCGCAAATGAAATCTATAAAACACCAATAACACGATTCCCAAACAGTTATAATGATCTTCCACTCTGGGACCCCATCCCCACTCTGTCCCAGCAGTCTATGTAAATAAAATACTTTCACATTCTCTTGATCTGATTTAGCTTTGCTTTAAGTCCTGAAACTATTTATTCTGGTTCCAGTTAGCCCCAGTTTTATTAAAGAGGGATTTTGTCTAATATTGAACCAGACCCTGGTTTAGACATTGAACCAGGCACTGCTTAGACATGAAGTCATAACACTTAATTTGTAACCTCTGAAATTATATATTTGAATTTTTTACTTTAAATTCACCTGCAAAAAAAAAAATACCTGAACAAATACTACTGCAGAATTTGACATATTTGCATACATCCAAATTCAATTCAACAACAGAAATTCACAGACAACAATTCAAATGCAAAAAAAAAAAACAAAAGAAAAAAACCCCTACAAAATCCAATGAGTGTACTTTGATCGGCCAAAAGCCATTTGTGTCACTCTAGTGCTGATTGCTTTGGCTTGAGTCATCAAAATGCCAACATATTTTAGCATTTTAAGGTTTGCAGGTTAAATTTGTGTTGTTAATTTTTTTGAGTTTGAATTTTTGCAGGTGATTGTTTTGCATTTAAATTTTAATATTTGATTTTTTTAGGTCAGTTTCAGCTGATGATTTTGTTTGATGCTGAATTTATGCCGCTGATTTATCTAATTACTGCAGTATAATTTTTACAGGCTTCAGTGTTGCTGAAGAATTTCATGCAAAAACATTTAACTACATAATTGCACAACTTAAAATTCAGCATTAAAAATAAATTCTGTGTTATTGATACAAAACCTAATACTGTAAATGTCTGATTCCAATTAGGCTACTTTTCTTAAATACCGTTTAAATTGATACGTAGGTTTTCACAACTAAAGATTTTAACTTGATATGGAAACCTGGGAAAATATTCGATGCACAATACCAAGTCAACATTTTGCGAATAAAACAGCAACAAATATTTAAAGGCATAAAAAAAATTATCCTTATGAAAAAAAACTCCACTTTTCAGCTTCAATATGGATGGTTTCTCAACAGAATCACAGACACTAGTTAGCAAAGCCAACTTTATTTAGAGAGCATTTTAAAACAGCTGGCACTGACCAAACTGCTGAACAAAAGGGATGACTGTCAAATAAGGTTGCAAAGAAATGTGAAATGAATAACACACTTCAACAACATTTTAAAGGTTTTCTTAGCTATCATTCTTTCAACGTGTAAATAATTCAGAAATATTGATTCAGCATTAGCACCAGTATGTGAACAAAACTTGTCTTCAGTATTGGAACCATGGCAATTTGCAGGAAGCATTAAAGTCTGCCTATTGATACTTTTTGAAGTCTCAATATTTTTGACAATCCTGTCAATCCTGATGGATAGATAGATATGCTGCTATAGGCTTAGGCTGCTGGAAGATATAGTGACCTCTTTTTCATCAATTTTCTTCATTTAATCTCTGTTCTCCAATTCTGCAGAATTTATTAGTTTTATGCTCCCTCTGCTTTTTCTCATAGTAGCTTCATCTGGTGTGTTCTTGCTGTGCTGTGACTCCATCATGGAGAGAAATATCAGCTGTGCTGCTGCCATAAACACCTTTGTTTATAGATGTTGGAGCTTGGACTCTTTTTCAGTGTAGTCCTGTTTCTCTGACTGTAACCAAGTCAAAGTGCTCTCTTTCATCCTCTGACATGGGAGCTGGATCGGAGCTCATCTGCCCTGCTGTGTTTCCTGGACGGGGACTTCGGTGGAGCTGGTTGACAGTTGCCTTTTGTATCTCTGCTTCTGTCTTCTTGAAACCCAGTCGGCTTCAACAGATGGCCGCTCACACTGAGCCTAGTTCTGCTGGAGGTTTCTTCTGGTTCGAAGTTTTACCATCCACTGTCACTACAAACATGCTTGGTATGAGGGATCGCCTTCAGGTCAGTGAGTCGATGCAATCAGTTGGTTTTCCCTAGATAGAAAACTCTGAATCAGTTTGACTGAATAATCTGGTTGAATTGTAAAGTGCCTTGGGATTACATGTGAATCGGCGCTACAGAAAAAAACTGAATTTAATTGAACACATAGATAGATAGATAGATAGATAGATAGATAGATAGATAGATAGATAGATAGATAGATAGATAGATAGATAGATAGATAGATAGATATTAATCACTGTTAAAACGCTTAGTTGGTTCTTTCAAAACCCCTTATTACAGCTGTTTTGATGTGATAACAGACTAAATGTATTAATGCTTATGTCAGATGTTGAACTGTTTAACGTGCGCGCTCATGTGAGTGGCAGGCGGGGATACGTGCGCGCGCCGCCATAGCTGCACACGCGCAGAAAGGCTAGCATACCGGTGTTGTTGACATTTTAGCAACACACTTAGCGACAATGGCCGCCGAAGTGAGACAGGAGCTTGCACAGCTGATGAATTCAAGTGGATCTCACAAGGACCTCGCTGCTAAGTATGTAGCTCTCAAAAGGGACAAACATTAACTGATGATTAAAAAACAGCTTAAGGCGGAAACACGTCACTGTTAGCTAACAAAGCTATTTAGCTACGATTGACCTAGCTATGCTAACTTCATTCGCTCTCTTTCATATCCAGTTTGTTAGCTTAGACTTACATTTAGTCTGGTCATTTAGTCTTATTGAAATACATATTGTCTTCTCTAAAACAAGTCCATAGTGGAGAGATTATTTATTTATTATATTTTGCAATCAATGCTTGCCAACCTCCGTAGAAGCTAACGATGCTTTTTAGCTTCCAGCTAGAACAGTAGTTACACTATGGTACACTGCGATGTTTAATATGGCAGGGAGAAAGATTTGATTGATGATCTTCTTAGTGTGTCTATAATTTTTAAACAAAGGGCAATTTTGATCAGGAGTCTTATTGGACTTTGTTTTCAATTGCTTCTGTCTGGATCCTAAAGAAGCAGATATTTAACTGAGTCCAAAACTATTTAATTTTTATTGTTATAATATTCTGTGTATAATTTTGAGAGTAATTTAGTGCCATTTAGAAAAAGTCTGTAACATAACTAGATGTGAACATGCTGTACATTTGTTTAAGGTATAATTAATTGAATATATTGGGGTTATTTTTCTTCTTTAAGGGTTGGATTAGGAAAAAGTTGCTTTTTGCAAAACTAAATAAGTAGATGTACTTACTTCGACCAAATCTCGTAACGCCTTTTAAAACGTCTAACCAAATTCTGTCCTAACAGACCCTTGTCAACCTCTCTGTTTATTACCGTAATAAGACTGACATGTGAATCGTCTATTTTCTTGCCGAGCTGCATTGCTTTTCACTGCTTTTATAGTATTTTGCCAACATTTCCTATACTTTATATCGATTCAAAAGTGGATCAGTCTTGGTGGAGGGATCTCTAAATGATCTCCTAATATTAAAGTTTATGTTTAATTCTACAAACCTCTTTCTACACTCTGAACAAATGTAGTTTGGGTAACTAATGAAATGTCTCCGTAGATATCGGCAGATTTTGGAGAAAGCCATTCAGCTGGCAGGTCCAGAACAGCTGGAGTCCTTGAAGGCCTTTGTTGAAGCAAGTATGCAGCTCAGACTTTACTTTCATGCTGCCAGCTTGATCTGTAAGTGGGTTTCTATGAGTGACTTTTAAACTTTACTCCCCCTGCAGTGGTCAATGAGAATGTCAGTCTTGTCATCTCGAGACAGCTGCTGACAGATTTCTGCACTCACCTGCCCAACCTGCCAGACGCCACTGCTAAAGCAGTGTATCACTTCACTTTGGAGAAGATTCAGCCCAGGGTCATCTCCTTTGAGGAACAGGTAGATTTTTTCATGTTTTCCCCACAACTTGAATAGACATTTTATGTGGGTTTTTTTTTTTTTTACTTTGTTTCCTGTCATGCTAAATAATGTCTCTGTGTTTTCAGGTAGCCTCCATCAGACAGCACTTAGCAACCATTTATGAGAAGGAGGGAGACTGGAGAAATGCTGCACAAGTTTTAGTTGGAATTCCTTTAGAAACGGGGCAGAAGTAAGTAGCCTGTTTGCAGATTACTGTTCAGACCTCAAGCCCATGTGACACCTTGACGATTCAGCCAGCATATGCCTGACGTACGAATAAACTGACAACAACGCTGGCATACGTTGGATAAGTTATGGGTATGTTTTGTATAAGTTATAAGCATGCTTGAACACGGGCAGGCGGTAAGTAGCAGCTAGGCTACCACTGCGATCAAACACATCGTTTTAAGCAGGCCAGACGCCTCCGGCCACATCGCTGCCCCCCTCTTAAGACACTGCCTTTCATGGGCATTACGCTGCCGT